CCTCTATAATGTTTCCAAGACACATGACCTATCATTCCCACCAGTATTAAGCTGATGTTGCACAACCTGAGCAATAACCTGCAAAGCAGTAACAATCACATCATTGTTTCTTCCATCTATTCTACACATAGGAAAACTAACGTCAAAAAACAATGTGTCGAAAGTGTAGTCACACTAATCGACTGATAGGACATACTCATCATAAGAAAACCTGGTCGGATGGACCGACCTGCTCAGATACCACTAATGTAACACCCTTCTAAACCCACAAATAATTCGTGTATAATTTAAGAAAGTAATACGAATAAATCCACCAATAGGGTGTCACACCTTCATATAAATATCATGTAAAACATCTTTCTCCGTAACACGGGTTTTCAAGAATCAACTATAGTGAATACTTGTTTAATAATAACAATGACACTTCAACTACTCGTAGCGGAATTCATAGTTTCAAAATACTTTTATTAAAATACTTCATAGAAGCTTCATCATCCATAATTCATAATTCAAATAACTCAAATACCATGAAAGCTAATTCAAATCTCAAGATAACATAAAAGAACATAATTAATCCAATCAAATGGTACCAACCCCAATGTTACATATTACAGAAAAACCCACTTTGTTCAATAAGAAATAAATAATGCACTCTACAGCTATCCTCAAAGCTTCAACGAACTATTCTTGATCACCTTCAAGTTACCCACGAAAAGAGGTAACATTTCCAAGAAGAAAGGGTGAGTAATCACAAATTATAAAAGATATATGGAATAGATATAGTAGTACAACAACAAATCATCGTGGATTACACATATCATCATACTTCATATATTATACCCACACTTTTGCATCATCAACACACAACAATTATATCATTACATCATCACTTCAACACGGATCATCAAACACCACTGAGATCACAACATCACTTAATCAATCATTATGAAATGTTACATATAACGCAATGCAACATCATTGACTCATGCACGTGGTACCAAAACTTCATTGATAACTAAGTCATCTTTCTTCAAAGATTCCCACCATAGGATTGATTCTCGCTTGGAACTAGAGCACTTCACAAACATGCACTCAATCCACACCACGGGATTGAGGTCATCACTAGACTAACATCCTAAAAATCAACAATTGACCAACGTCCTATCATCACTGGACCAACGTCCTAATATCATTGGATTATGCCCTAACATATGCCATAAATTCATGATGCGCAACAACATAATGAAACATGACCACTGCTAGTCAAAACGCATCATCATTCATGTAACCATCATGTAATTATTTTCATACGACATGTATACACATCAAACATGAAATCATCAACTCCATTCATCATAATAGTATCAATTACTTCATAGTACAACATAGCATCATTATAGCAACATCAATTCATCATTTACCCACATCATAATAATCCAATCACAGAATCATCCTATTCATCAAAACATAGGTACTGAAAAGTAAACATATGGTTCATCACACCACACACAATTATAGTTCATCGTGTTAGATTCCTAACGCTTCGAACGACATGTTCAACAGAGTCTTAAAACTCAAGTTATGACACTTTAAAAATCATGTTTGTTGCTCCTCGCCAGAGGATCGCCCGATGAGGCTGGGACGACAACCTTTCCCTCATATAATATCTAGAAGCTTTGTTTCTCTCCCATTTATAACACCCCAATTTGTAGTTAGTAATAATGTCGATGGATTTTGTGTTTGGTTTACCCTGAACACCGAGTAATTGTGAAGCTATTTAGGTTATTTTGGATAGATTGACAAAATCTGCTCACCTTATTCCAGTGAGAATGGATTATCCATTGGAGAAGTTAACAAACATGTACATTAAGAAGATTTTCAGTTTGCACAATATTCCGTCTAGTATTGTGTCATATAGGGATATGAGATTTACTTCAATATTTTGGGAAGGTTTGCAGAATACTTTGGGTACAAAGTTGCGTTTGAGTTCTGCTTATCACCTGCAGACTGATGGTCAAACTGAGAGGATGATTTTCAGTCACTTTAGATCTTTTGAGAGCTTGTGTGTTGGAAAAAGGAGGTGCTTGGGATAGCTACTTGCCTTTAATTGAGTTTACTTATAACAACAATTTTTATCTGAGTATCAGAATGGAACCTTTAAAAGCATTATATGGTAGGAGATGTAAGACACTATTGTGTTGGTATGAGTCGGGAGAAAGTGTTATGGTTTGACCTAGATAGTCTAGCAGACTACCGATAAGATTACGATGATTTAGGAGAAGATGAAGACTTATCAGAGTCATCATAAGAGTTATCATAACAAGAGGAGGAAACCGCTTAATTTTCAAGAAGGAGATCATGTGTTTCTTTGAGTTACTCTGGTAACTGGTGTTGATCAGGCATTGAAGTCGCGTAAGTTAATGCCGCGTTTTATTGGTCCTTACCAGATTTCAGATAAGATAGGAGAGGTAGCCTATTGGATTTCTTTTCTGCTGTCTCTTTCTAGTCTCCATGATATGTTTCATGTATCTCAATTGAGGAAATACATTGCGGATCTGTCTCATGTGGTCCAAGTAGATGATGAGCAGGTGAGAGATAACCTGACTGTGGAGACATCACCTATGCAAATAGAGGATTGAGAGTTGAAGCAGCTGGGAGGTAAAGAGATTTCCTTGGTGAAGGTTGCTTGGGGAGGAGAGACAGGTACAAATGTGACTTGGGAGCTTAAGAGTCAAATAAGGGAGTCATATCGTGATATGTTCATTTAAGGTAACTTTTGAGGGCGAAAATATTTTAAGTGGAAGAGAGTTGTAACACCCCAATTTTAGTACTTTATTTATATATATATTATATTAATTAATTATTGGTTTTATTTTTTGGTTAATGAATGTATTTCATTAATTGATATGTGTTCTATATGACAAGTGAGTCGGGTTAAGTACGTCGAACCGTAGAATTATAGTTAGTAATAATGTCAGTTATGATAGAATTAAATCACGTAAATTAGTGTTAAAAATGTGTTTTGGGATGAAGAAATCGCATGAGATCGTTGTTGCCATTGCAACAATTTTTTCTGAAAATCGCAAAGCCCGCTCAACGTGAGATTAGCTCCCTTAGCCTGCTCGGGTCTGTAATGAGCGCGCTTAGCATGAACTTAAAGTTCAAATTTTGTAGTTTTCTTTATTTAATTTTGGATTATGTGTGCTTATATTTTATACTAATTTTACTTAATTTTCTGGAATTTAAATTGCATGTTTGGATGGGTTTTGAAGGCTATTTGTTAACGATATGAAACTTTGTTTATGTGACGTATGTATGTCTGTGATTGGGTGTTAAATCGTAATGACTGTTGTGCATTGTTGCTATGTGTTGTTATGATGTTTTGGAGCAGTGATATTATGAAATGAATTGTATGTGAATAATTCATGAGTATGTGTTGTATGTGCAAATGTGTGGTAATTCAAGTGTAATTAACTATTGAAAATATGCATGGATGTTAATATTAGAGGATGGCCTTAATTTGCATATGGTTTTTGTAATTGCATATGCATCATTTGTTGTCAAGAGGCATGCTTGTTAGTTCTGTGGGAGCTAGTGACTTGTCCCAAACCTATAGAGGAGTTTAAAAGCTTAGAGGATGGGCTTTTGGTGTGTTATTGGTCTAGAGGATGGACCCGGTTTAAAGTAAAAACCAAATAAAAATAACAGAGATTGGTACCATATGCATGAGTATTGCATTAGAGTTGCATTGAGTCATATTATGTCTATGTTTGCAATATGGAATTGTGTGTATGGTGAGAAGTTGATGTGTTTGTGGAAAATTGTAGATTGTGATTGTATATGCATGAGAATAGTATGAGAATTGGGTGATGTTATGTTTATAAAGCATCGTAGTGTGAGAATATTTATTTGTATGCATACATGTTATACATTATGTATTATTGTATGATTTTCGATAATCATGTAAATTCTCACCCTTCTGTTGAAATGATGTTTTATATGATAGCTCAAGTACTAAAGAGTAGAGTTTCTTCTAGCAAGAGATTACCTTGAGGAGTTAGCTGGTTTTATTTTCATTTTACTTTGGGTTGAGTCATGCTCTAGTCATGTAACACTGGGGAAAACGTTTGGATTCATGTTTTTAAAGAGATACATTGTATACTCTATGTTATGTTGTTATGATATTTTGATTTATATGGTGAATTGGCTTCTATGTCTAAGTTATTTCAATGAATGATTTATTACGAGACTTCTATAGTATGTTCATTTGAAATGGAGTTTTATTTCGCTGCTACATGCTTGTGAAAAGTGGTATGATAATCCATGAATTTAAATAAGTGTTAATTGAGCATGACAAGTATTTGTATTGTATGGAGTATGTGTGAATCCCTTGTTTTGAAATGCATGTTATTATTTACTCTGATTTATGACAAAATATTCTGTGGGATTCAGAGGGTGTTACATTAGTGGTATCAGAGCATAGTCGACCAGTTGACTAAGTTATTAATGTGTTTATTCTCATTTATATTCTATATGTGTTGTGTCACTATCAGTATTCTTTGTTCTAGTGAGAAGTTATTGTTGGAAATTCTCAGAACAATGGTTGGAGGCAGGAATGACAAGGCTATCACTGAAGCTTTGGCAATGTTGGCTGGAGAAATTAGGCAGAATCAACATGTCAACAATAATGTTGGGAATAACAACAATTATGATGAGTTACATGCTTTGGGAAGTTTTAGAGGAATAATCTGCCAATTTACGAGGGAGCTCATGAACCTAACAGGGCACGGGTATGGCTGAAAGCGATTGAGAAATTTTTTTGAGCCATGAACTGTTCATATGCACAGAAGGTGTGGTTTGGCACCCATATGATTGGGAAGAAAGTAGATGACAGATGGGGTAACACTATTCATAGGTTTGAATATCACCTTACTTTTCCTTTGTTTCTTTTTCGTAATAGGTAACGAAAAATATAGAGGAAAAATCTCATCAACAGGAAGATGCTCGATCAAATCCCAAGTAATTTACATTCCCTCTTAGTTGCATGTAGTTTAGTTATCGATCGACTTGGAAATGATAAATGTGTTATTCAGTTTGGGACACAAATTCATTTTTGATGTATGATTCTTGGATTACGAAGATTTTATCCTTTGACAGGTTTGACGGAATTGCAGCAGAGCCCAGAAAGGGAATCAGAAGTGGTCATGTACCTGGCAGCAAATGCATTCCTTTCCCCAGGTACAATATCAATATTAAAAATTATACAATCTTATCTCAATTCTGATCCTGTGGTATTATATCGTAGATATCATTATTATTAAGAATGCTTCGGTATATTATTATTACATTATGTGTGCACTTGATTTTCAGACTATTTTAATCAATGCCAAATGTTTTTGACCTGCAGATTTTAGATAGTTCACAAGCATTGTTACCAGCAGACGAGCTTAAGAAGCGATTTGAACAAGAAGGTTCTAACATCTTTCAATATATTTTAATATTGCCGAAATCATTTTCTTCTCGAATTCCACTGTCACCAATTCTCATTATTCTGCAGGTATCTCTTTGGAAAAGCCGGTTGTGACTTCGTGTGGAACTGGAGTAACTGCATGCATTCTTGCATTGGTATTGCTGTGTCTAGTCTTCTCTAATCTTTTCTATCGAAGTACCCGATATATTGGAAATATCCTTTCAGTACATTTTGATTTTGATTTTTTTTTTGTTACAGGGTCTTCATCGTCTTGGAAAGACCGATGTTCCGGTTTATGATGGATCGTGGACTTGATGGGGATCACATTTTGATACTCCGGTTGACACGGCCGACACGGCCACAAAAACACAATAGAATCGCCAAAAATGAATTTGCATGGCAAAAAGTTGTATCTAGTTTTCAAACATTTTGAGCAGAACTGAGTTATCTTTGCATCTTTACTTTAAAAAATGATAATAATGACAGGGTTGTTTGATAACTGTACCGATGTTTGTGTTTTTAGTTCTTGTCATATGAAATAAAATAAATGTTAAAAGGATGTTACTAAAAAAATTAATGATATAAGGAAAATATAATGAGTCATCTTAAACAATTCCACATCATCACAAATATGCCACATCAGCGCGATGCAAACAAAATTTACTTATTTTAAACAAAAAATTTATTAAGGATTAAAGTTGGTGATTTTTTATATTAAAAAATTATATAAACTAAAATTATATATATATATATATATATATATATATATATATATATATATATATATATATATATATATATATATATATATATATATATATATATATATATATATATATATATATATATATATATATATATATATATATATATATATATATATATATATATATATATATATATATATATATATATATATATATATATATATATATATATATATATATATATATATATATATATATATATATATATATATATATATATATATATATATATATATATATATATATATATATATATATATATTTCTCTAAATTATAATATATATGCTTCATTTCTAGTATTAATTTAGTGATTAGAACTCTTACAATATAAAGTTCAAAATAAATTAATCAATATTAATCTTAATTGGTGTTAAAAAGATTAATCTTGATTGATAAGAATTTCCTAATTATTTTATTAAAAAAATAATGTTTGTTGCGTATTACCATATTTTTAGGGTAAAAAGTGGAACTTCATTATACAGTTATTATAAATTGATTTGGTCTTGATTCAAAAAAAGAAAAAAAAAAGTTGAATTGGTCCATATTTTTATATGTAGTTGGCTAATCATGTGCACAACAATTTGGTTTTCTTTAAATATGGTTGAACTCAATAAATATGAGATACTTTTATCATATAAAAATAATAAAAATATAAGATTTTATAATTTAAATTTTAAATTTTAAAATATGATATATTTATCAACATGTTAAAATATTATTTTACATATATTTTTATTATAAATTAATGTACTCAATTTGATTTAATATTTATTCAGACAACTTTATTTTATACAAGACAAGTCTATGACATTTTTATCAAAACATGTTTAGCGTTTTTTCAGAGAATCATGCAAAATTGGCTAATAAAATAAATAATCATACAAATAAATAAAAAATAATCAAGGTAAAAATAAATAAATAAATAAATAAATGATTCCTCTTACAAGAGAAATAAATGAACAACCAAAAAATGAATCTAACCTATAGGCTCATGAGAATAGAACCCTATTAAGTAACAACATACAAAAAATAAAATAAATGAAACAACTCTAAAAAATGGAGAAGAAAACCAAATAGAAAGTAAAATTATTCTTGTTTTGGTTTCTCCTCATTCTCATGATTAATCTCTGCTCCAACAAGTTGTTTAAGACCTTGAAGGATTGAAGGTTTTGACCTAACATCAACATTGTTGCTCAATGTGGTGACAATCTCTTTTGAAATAAAGCACTTTTCTTCTGAATACAACTTCTCTTGAACAAAAGGAGAAACAACTAGTTTGTGTAGTTCTTCACTTGGAGGAGGAGGTTCCTTTTCTTCCTGAAATAATCAATTATCAAAAATAATCCATTACCAAAATCTAAGACATAATAGTATGTATTTTGATTACAAAAAGTTTAAGACCCGAGTTTGAACCACCAGAACCATGATCAGGACAAAACTCAAACAAAAACATAAGAGACAAACCTCAAAACTTATACAAAATAAAAACACAAACAAAAAGCAGTTATTACCTTGCTGAAAGTTTCCATAAGTTGAAGCATTCCAACTTGAGCTTGAAGAAACGTAACATAATTAGAAGCAGCATTAAGCATCTCAGCAGTGTTCATCTTAGGTCCACCAGGAACCAACTTCCCAAGCTCTTGTGTCTTCTCAGTTATCTTCCTTCTTCTTTCTCTCGCCGCAATACTCTGGGTCGAGATACTCCTTTCACTAACCTTCTTCTCACATTGCACATTAACATCAACCATATTCGAACCCGAAAACGCTTCCGCTTCAAAGGAAGTAGTAAAAGGGTTCGCTATAAACTCATCCACAAAATAATTGCATGAGTTCAAAAGCTCTTGTTGGTTTGCTTCTTCATAACCTATTTTTTGTCGTTTTGGACATGGAAGAACGTAGTTGTTGAAATTTTCATCGTTAGGGAAAATGTCATTCATTGAAACAAAACCATCATTTTGATCACAAGAAAAAGTTGAGTCAATGATTAGTTGATCTTCACAAGGATAATTCTCGTTAGAGTAAAAATAAGGACTCGGAAAAAATAAGATTTCATCTAGAAAAGAAGAAGAAAAGTCATAGTTTTGTTGAGACAGTTCAAATAGTTGTTGTTGTTCATGATATTGGAAAGTGATGGTTTCGGAGTTGTCAATAGTTTGAAGAGTTTGAGAAGGATAAGAATTATTATAGTTGTTGTAGTGTGTGGTAAGAAATCCCATGATAAAAAAAAAGGAGAATCTTTGTTTAGAGACAAAAGTACGAGAATGTTTGAAGAGGACAAGTACTAGAATGATGAAAGAGAAAAACTAGTGTACTATGTCGTTGTAGATATTTATTGTGTGTGAATGGTTTTAGAGAGATTGAAGGAAGAAAAAGACTTGAGAAGAGTAAAGGAAAAGGAGAATAAAAATTAAGAAGAGATATGATATAGGAGAAGTTAGAGGCAGTTACATTTGAGAAAACAAAAATTATGAATTAAAAAATAAAATAAAAAAATGCAGTTTTGCGGAATAGAAGGAGGATTGGCTAAAAGTAAGGAAGTTATTATGCAATGAAAACATGCCATCTATATTTATGATTGATTCACGTCAAGTATTTTTCTTTAGACAAAAAAAAAAACATTTGATTTAGTATTTTGATTTAGTAATAATAAGAATAAGAATTTCATTAAAAATTTATTATTAAAAAAGTGAATGTTTATAGTGATAAAAAAAGTGAATGTTTGTAAACTAAATTATTAAAAAAAGGTTGGAAATTATTTGTGAAACAGTTACATAGCCAACTCATGTATGTGATTGACCATTTCATAGTCTTATTAACCGTTTTGTTAACTCTTGGTTCTCATTGACCATTTCCTCATTTTATTATCTGTTTCTTTAATCCTTCCCTCTTTCTCTCTCATACATAGGAATATTGTTTTTTTTTATTTATATTTTTAATTTTAATAATTTCTAAGTATTATTTGAGTAAAAATCAATACTAAACGGTTTTAAATTATCAGTGAATCATAACTGATAAATTTATATAAAAATTTGACTTTTTTTTGAATCACATATAAAATATCACGTGTAAATAATTGTGATGCACTGGTTGTGTATAATATTTTTTACTGTATAGTAATTATTCTCTTTTATAAAATAAAAATAGCACAAGAAAAAATTCTAATATAAAAAGATAACATTTAGTTATTGATTAGACAATAAAAATATAAAACTAACCCAATTGATAATAACATTAATATCTTGTTTAGATATATTTTACGAATTCATTTTTAATATTTTACAATAATTGTAACCATTTTTTTTATTACAATAATTGTATAAGACATGTAACCGGCCATAAGACTTTTAGAAATTAGACTCTAACTTTTAAAGCCCCAAAATTTAGAAACTAAAATTTAAAAAATAAATGAGATCCCTAAATTTAAGGAGATCCCTAAAATAAACAAAATTGAAATTAAAGTAAGATTTGTAACACCTAATTTTTTCACTTAAAATTTTTATATTTATTTTATTTTAAAGATAATATGTTGTCAATAATATATATATTTTGTTTTAAAATATTGTTTTCTTTTTATTTTTAATTTTTGTAAAATCATTTTATTATTTTCAGCCTTTTTTTTTAGAAAATTGTTTTTCGGAAATAGATATTTTTAAAATTATTTTTCAAAAATATTATTTTTTATTTAAAAATTTCAAATTACTTTAGCAAGACTAATGATAGTCTACTCCCTTTCATCTCAAATATAAGCAACCCAATTTTTTTTGCTATGATCTTAAATATAGGCAAAAAAACACTAATAATTATTACATTCAATTCAATGTCATTATTTCACATATACACATAACTTTTTCTTCACATTTTTATATTTTTAACGAAGACGTATTTTCAATGCATGACACTTATGTGGTTACCTACTGACGCCAAGAGAAAGTTTTATATCTTTGAAGAAAGATTGAAGGTCGTGGAGGGTCATGGTGCCTATGGAATAAATGTTGTAGATTTGGGCCTGGTGCCAGGTATCAGAATTTCTGCTAAGTTTAAGGCACCAGACTTTGACAAATACAAGGGGATGACATGTGCTACGACGCATTTCAGGATATATTACAGGCAAATGTCAGCATACAATGATGATGAAAGGATGCTGATGCACTTCTTCCAAGACAGACTGTCTGGGACATCTTTGGAGTGGTACATGCAGTTAGAGCGGACTTATATCCGTACCTGGAGAGAATTGGCCGAAGTGTTCATTAAGCATTACCAATACAATACTGACATGTCTTTCAATAAGACTCAACTTCAGAGTCTTTCTCAAGGGTCAAACGAATTCTTCAGAGAGTACGCCCAAAGATGGCGAGAACTTGTTGCCAGGGTTCAACCACCGATGATGGAGAGAGAATTGGTAGACATGTTAATGGAAATACTACAGGGTCCCCATTATACGATGATGGTTGGAAATACCTCGATCAGTTTTTCAAATTTGGTTATGGCAGTTGAGCGTGTTGAACCAGTTATTAAGTTGGGAAAGATTCAGGTTACAAATGCAAGTTCCTCAAATGGAGGGAAGAAGTCTTTTGGAGGTTATGCTAAGAAGAGAAAGAGGGTGACCAATTCTATGTTTTCTTCTAGAGGAAAGGGCATAGCGTATCAAGCGTCATATCAACAAGCTGCTATAGTAATTCCTTCAGCTCCTCAATAAGTTGGTTCTCCCCAGCCAGCTTATGCTCCTCAACACCCGCATTAGTGTCATCAAAATTATGCTCCTAGAAAATATAAGCAAAGACCCAATTTTCCTGAGAGTACTTTTGACCCGATACCGATGCCTTATGCACATTTTTTTGCCTCATTTGCTCAAATTGCAGTTAGTTGAACTCCGCACTATGAATCCTCCTACAAAGTTGCTACCTGGTTATGATGCAAACACCAAATGTGAGTTTCATTATGGAGCGCCATGGAATAATATTGAAAACTGCAAAGCTTTGAAGCATAAGGTGTAAGATCTGATTGATTCTAAAGTGATTGAGTTCACTCTAAACAATCATCAAATGTGATGCAAAATTCGATGCCTCCGCACAACATTCCTTCGGTAGATGCTATTGAGAATATTGATGGTCTAAACCTAGTGATGGATGTGAATCAGTTAAGGATTTATTTGATGTTTGTCAAGAAGAAGTTATTTGAACATGACGTGTTCCTTGGTTGTTCTATTGGTTGTAAGCAGTGTCTTGATCAGCCGAAGGGGTCTGATGAGTTGAATATGGGAATTCAAAGAATGTTTGATCAAAATTTAATTCAGTTTGACAAGCCTTTATATAATGATGATGTTGGTAGTGATAATGTTGTAATTATTTCTATTTTATATGATCATGTTCGTGTTCCTATACCATCTAAGTAGTCTCCATTGATGATAACTATGCCTGGTTCTGTTCTATTTGAAAGTACCAAAGCTATACCATGGTGTTATGGTGTTGAGGTATATTATCAAGGTTAAAAGCAAGAAGACCTACCCCTTGTGGTTGCTGAAACAAGGGTAGAAAATATTGTTGGAATAAGTCGTTTCACCCGCAGTGGTAGAATATTTTCCCTTCCACGAGTTACTCAAGATAAAACTGATGAAGCTTTAGCTAATGCTAAAGGGAAGCAAACCATTATGTATAACCAAGTGCCGAATTATGATCCAGAGTCGTCTTCTTCTAAGGAAGCAAAAGAGATTGAGGAATTGATGAAGATTATTAAGAAGAGTGACTACAAGATAGTTGATCAACTCAATCAGACACCATCTAAGATATCTATCTTGTCACTACTACTTTGTTCTGACCCCCACCATAATGCATTGATGAAGCTCCTGAGCACCGCCTATGTGTCTCGGGAAATTTATGTTAATCAGCTAGAAGGGATTGTAGCCAACATTACTGCTGGTAATGGTTTGGGTTTTACTGATCGTGACTCGCCTCCTAAGGGGAGGAACCATAACAAACCTTTGCACATTTCTATGGAGTGAATTAATACTACTTTATCAAGAGTGTTGGATGATACAAGTTCTTCTTTTTCAAAAATATTATTTTTTATTTAAAATTTTCAAATTACTTTAGCAAGACTAATGATAATCTACTCCCTTTCGTCTCAAATATAAGCAACCCACTATGATCTTAAATATAGGCAAAAAAAACACTAATAATTATTACATTCAATTCAATGTCATTATTTCACATATACACATACTTTTTTTCTTCACATTTTTATATTTTTAACGAAGATGTATTTTCAATGCATGGCACCGTTATGGGGTTACCTGCTGACGCCAAGAGATAGTGTCATATCTTTGAAGAAAGATTGAAGGTCGTGGAGGGTCATGGTGCTTATGGAATAAATGTTACATATTTGGGCATGGTGCCATGTATCAAAATTCCTGCAAAGTTTAAAGCTCCAGACTTTGACAAATACAAGGGGACGACATGTGCTAAGACGCATTTTAGGACGTATTACAGGAAAATGTCAGCATACTATGATGATGAAAGGATGCTGATGCACTTCTTCCAAGACAAACTGTCTAGGGCATCTTTGGAGTGGTACATACAGTTATAGCAGACTTATATCCGTACCTGGAGAGAATTGGCTGAAGTGTTCATTAAGTATTACCAATACAATACTGATATATGTAACACCCATAATTTAGTTTAATTATTTATTTAATTATTTATTTAATTAGAATATTTTGGAATAATTGTGAAGTTGTGTAATATTGAGGATCACTGGTATAAGTTGTTAGATTATTATTAATTAATTAATTAGTTGACTAATAATAATTATATTATGTGAAATTAAGGAAATATATGAAATATATGTTGGGCCTACACTATTGGTTGGAAATAGTAAAGTGGGGATGTAGGTTAGACTCAATAGGATTGATATATAAGGAGAATCTAACACAAAGATTCGTTTTAGTTGGAGAATAAGGATTTTTATACGTTGATCGATAGAGCTGCACGGAAGAGAAGCAAGCTGCCCGGTGTCAAGCAGAACGAAGCAAAACCGTCGGCTAGAATTTTTGGTTGAACGACCTTTAATCCAGGTAAGAGTGTGGTTCTGACCTTATAATGGAATTTATGACATATATTACGTGGGAAGGAGGATTGACTAAAAATAAAAAAGTTATTATGCAATGAAAACATGCCATCTATATTCATGATTCATTCACGCAAGTGTTTTTCTTTAGACA